ACAGTGATGTTCTCTCCCTTTGAATTTATTAATTCCCCCATAGTTTTACTCTTTACATTTAGGTTTTTAATCCATCTATTGCCCATCTTTGCATGTGGTGTTAAAGAGGGATCCTTTTCTTTTTTTTCCATATACTGAGTCAGGTTTCCCTATGCCATCCACTGGACAATCCATGCTTTCCCCCATGGAATGGTGGCGTCACTTCGATCGTCTTTTTCTGTTCCTATACATACCTGGGCCTGCCCACAGTACTCTGTTCTGTCCCTTTAGTGTATTCATTTTCATCTGTTCTTGCACCAATACCCAGTGTTTTTATTCCTATAGCTTGCAGTATGTCTTCATATTTGGTAGAGAAAGCGCTCCCTCCTTTTCTTTTTAATATTTTTTTTTTCCTTTTCAATATTGACTTAGCTATATTTACACTTTTATTCCTCCATACAAATTTTAGAATACGTTTATCAGTGTCTGGGAAAAAAAATCTGGAATCTTAATTGAGATTGCTTTGAATTTACTAGCTACCTTAAGGATAACTAACATGTGAAATAATATTATGATACCCTACTCAAGAGCATACATTATTTTTTCTTTTTTTATAAAGATGACCGGTAAGGGGATCTTAACCCTTGACTTGGTGTTGTCACTCTCCTGAGTGAGCCACGGGTCGGCCCAATACATTATTTTTTCTTTTTGTATAAAGATTACCGGTAAGGGGATCTTAACCCTTGACACTCTCCTGAGTGAGCCACGGGTCGGCCCAATACATTATTTTTTCTTTTTGTATAAAGATTACCGGTAAGGGGATCTTAACCCTTGACTTGGTGTTGTCAGCACCACGCTCACCAGTGAGCCAACTGGCCATCCCTATATAGGATCCGAACCTGTAGCCTTGGTGTTATCAGCACTGCACTCTCCTGAGTGAGCCACGGGTCGGCCCAATACATTATTTTTTCAAATTATCTCCTATTTCCTTTTTTTCCCCCTACAATGGCTGGCCACTATGGAGATCTAAACCCTTGACCTTGGTGTTACAAGTAGCACTGGGGTTACCAGTACCACCTCTAACCAACTGAGCTAACCAGCCAGCCCATATCTCCTGAATCCTTTACTGGTGTTTTAATGTTTTTTTCCATCAAGGCCTCATGCATCATTGATCAAGTTAATTGTTACATACTTTATATTTTGGGGTGCTCTTTAGAACAGCACAATTTTTATTTTTATTTCTTTGGCTGCTGCCTGGTACATTAGTATACTTGGGGGTGGGCAGGGAAGGAGGGGGGTCTGGGCAGTACCAGGATAGCACAAATTTTAAAGACTGTTTTAATTGGTTATTACAGTATTAGAAAAATGATATTGATTTCTGTAGGCCGATCTTTTATCAACAATGATAAACCCTCCCCTAACAGTCTTCCTGCTCTCTTTATGAGGAGGGTGAGAAGTACTTCTATAAAACATTTTAGACAATCGTGAGCACTGAACATATCATCAATGTAAGCCCGATTCTAATATTTTTCATCTTAATTAACACAGCCTATGGTGTTGATCGCAGATAAAGACGGTGCGTGCTTCGTAGTATCTACTCTAGAGACTGCTGTTTTGGTTTAATGCCAGCCTCCTCGCGTGGAGCGCTCTCCAGCAACTGCGCGCTCGGGTGTGGTGTAAAACCAACTCACAAAGCCACCAGGGGGCGCCGAGGCCTCACGTCTGCACGAGGAGGGGCCCAGTGGGTGCAGAGGACGTGGCCACCAGGGGGCGCTGTCTCGGGACATTAGGAATGCAGCGATACTCCAGACGTGCGAGGAGGGGGCTGGCCCATTAGCTCAAGTGGTTAGAGCGTGGTACTGCCCACACCAAGGTCCAAAACAAACGAATCAAGACGAGGCGAGGAACTAATATTCTGAAGGTGGGGGGATGTGGGACAATAAATTAATAGATGACTTCACGGTGTAATAAATTCTATGGAGAAAATAACTCAGGAGTCAGCTGGTTAGCCTAGGTGGTTAGAGCAAAGACTTGGAACACCAAAGTCAAGGATTTGGATCCCCAGACCAGCCAGATGTGCCCCCCTCCAAATAAAATAAAAACTCTGGTGACAGGATGGTGACTGAGAGTACTCCTCAGATTCAGCACTCAAAGGCACCTCTGAGATTACATCTAAGTGATGGTGAGGATCAGGGGATATTGAACAGGAGGCTGGAAGCAGAGCGAATGTGTCCCTGGGTCCTGGAGGGGAAGAAACTGGTGTGGCAAAGGACAGATCGGACAGGGATGAAAGCAGAAAGGTTGACAGGGGCACAGCATGGAAGGATGACTTTGCTTTTATTCTGACAGCCAAGGGAAATCTATGGAGCGTTATGACATGAAAGATCTCCAAGACGGGTTGTTAAGTGAAAAAAGCCAGGTGTAGAGCAGTGCTCAGAACGTCAGCCTCACAGATATGGAAGGGGGCTAGAACGTCAATTCACACTGTGTCTGCAGAAAGAAATACTGGACCACTACTCAGAAGTTGATAAACAAGCAAAAAATGGTGACCTTTGGTGGAAAGAGGAAAAGGAAGTGGGATGGATGAAGACTAGGCTAAGAATGAGAAAAAGCATCAGACCAGAGACCACAGGAGGCAGGGAGGCAGGAAGCCCGGTGGGGAGGTGTCACAATGAGGGGGTGAAGGGTCAGGCACACCGTGTTCTTTTTTGGCTGTTCCTTATCAGAAGGCCTCTGATTCGGCGTTCCCAGGGGACATCTTACTGGCCAGGGATGGTGGCTGTAAGAACTAATGGTGACCCCTCCCCACAATGATAAGGTTGATAGTGCTTATTATGTGCCTGGCCCTAATCTATGCTCTGTGCATCTAAGCCTTACAACAAACCTAAGATATATGTACCATTATTATTTTTTTTTTATTTTTTAAAGATGACCGGTAAGGGGATCTTAACCCTTGACTTGGTGTTGTCAGCACCACGCTCACCCAATGAGCTAACCGGCCATCCCTATACGGGATCCGAACCCGGGGCCTTGGTGTTATCAGCACCGCACTCTCCTGAGTGAGCCACGGGCCGGCCATATGTACCACTATAATCATCTTCATTTTATAGGTATGGACACTAAGACACAGAGAGATTGACTTTGCTCAAGATCACACAGCTAGGAAGTAGGACAGATGCATCGCAATCCAGACAGTAACTCCAGAGTCCATGCTCTTAACCACTGCCGCATTCTACTCCCCAACCCTTTTGCTGTAGCCTGGTTCTCAATGAATTGTATTACGCTTTACATAGGATATCTCAGTGGTCTGTGAGCTGTCACTAACACCTTACTATGAATTAATTAATCTCTTCCCACCACTGTAGAATAACACTGCTATGGTTTATAGGGGCACTGTAGTGTAGGAGTTAAATAGCTGGGCTCTGGAGTCATAATGCCTAGAATTGAAGCCCAGTGTTATCGTTTCCCAGCTGTGTGACTGTGGGCAAGTGACACCACTCATCTGGCCCTCAGTTTCCTCATATGTGAAGTCTCCATTTTCCAGATGAGGACACTGAGAGGCATAACACACACGTAGGACTTTGAGTTTTGAGCACACACCACCCCCACAAAGATGAAGAACCAAAAAGTTTCTGTGAGAGGGAAGGAGAACGAGCTCCCTAGGCTCAAGCGCGGTGTTCTGCGGCGTGGGCGCAGGGGCAAGGATGCCAGGGGGAGCGGTTTGTTCATTCTCCACACATTTGTCCTCTACACACATGTGTGGAGGAAAGGGGCACTGGAAGCCTTTGAGGTCTGTCTGCACAGGGACAGCGAGGTCACCTGAAGGGCTGGGCAGGCCAGGACACTCAGGATGCTCCTCTTCTTCAGGACATCTTCTCTTCCCGGCAGCCTGGAACTCAGCTCCCCTGGAATGGTGTCTGATCCTGGCAGGGCTGCTGGGTGGCACAGGCTGGGGATGGGGTCCCCGGCCCCAACTTCAAAGTAAGATGAGAGGTGTGCTTTGTCCTGGGGTGGGAAACCCCAGCTCTGGCCCTGCCCCAGTCCTAAGCGCAGCCACCGTTCCACTCCATCTCCACACACCTGACACCACGGGTACAACCAGACTTGGTACTAAAATATTGAAATATTTCGGCAGTTTTTGATAAATAGCCTCTACCTGCTTTTGATGCCCCAGCCCCTCCCCTGGGACTCTCCAGACCACCTTGTACCCAACTATGAAAGGATTAACCCTCACTCAGTAGGGGACTTCCCTGACCCAGCCCTGGGGGACGTTGCCCATTCTGATTGGTGGACCTGCCAATATTTGGTATTTTGCCTGGCTCAGCCCCGATATCAATCCCTCCACCCACAAGTTCAGTCCTCAGATGGGGGCACCCGTTTCACACAAATTTTTATGCATCCTTCAAAGCCCTGCCTTAATGTCACCTTCTTCAGGAAGCCCTCACAGATTTCACCCCCCCCCCAGTAGTGAATGGCTCCTCCCACCCCCTGGCTCCCAAGTATCTTGGACCATTCAGCACAGCTTGCTCTAATCCTCCACTCAGGCACTCCTCTCCCACCAGTGTGTGGGCGCATGGATGCCAGAGACCATGTTCTGTTCATCTTTGTGGCCCCAATACCAATGGCCGTTCCAAGCACCAGTGACTGCCCAATCGATTTCATGGAGTGAATGAATGACTTGTTTGCTGTGTGACCTCCTGTGTTGAGGTGACATCGGCCACATTCAGACGTGAGTATCTCCCCTGACCCTGGGATCTAGGCTGTCATTCCCACAGCAGCCCCAAGAGTCACCCACACGCAGGGGCCCTGCTGGCTGGAACTGGGCCCGGGCTAGGGAGAGGTGAGGACAGGATGTGAGTCTTGCGGGCGCCAGGTCAGCAGGGCCTGTTCTCATGCTCTCGGGCCGAGGAGGAGTGATTCTCCATCTGGTGGGGCCAGCTGTGCTGCCGGGACAGGAGACGCAGCGGGGGAGAGGGAGGTTGTGTGGGGGGAGCTCGGGGAAGCCCGTGGTAATCAGGGAGAGGAAAAACAGCCTGGCGATGTTATTGTTACATTAAATACAACTTATAAACAAGCTGGGGCGGCGCTGGGTACAGTGGAGGGGCCACGGCGGTAGGTGAGGGTCAGGGGCGCGCAGTCCGGGCCCGGTCCTGGAGGGGGCTCAGGCTGCCGTCCTGGGAGGGGCTGGACTGGCGGAGGCCCGGCTGCTTGTGGAGGCCCCGCAGCTTCGCCAGCAGCTCCTGGATGAAGTCCTGAGGGCAGGGCGGGGGTGCTGAGAACGCGGGAGGTGCGGCGCCCCCTGCCCCGGCCGGCCCCGCCCCTCTGAGGGGCCCCGCCCCCTGCTCCCTGGTCAGTGGGGGGGGGGGGAGTCAGGGAGCGGCAGAGGCTGCGGGGATGGAGCAGCGGAGGCGAGAGAGACGGGGAGAGAGCAGCATGGAGGGGACAGAGGAAGAGGGAGACCGGAGGGACCGGAGGGACAGGGAGAAAAGTGATAGGGGAGAGAGAGATGGAGACAGAGACCCAGAGACAGAGAGAAACAGAGAAGGACGTAGAGACAGAGGGAGAGAGACAGAGGGACAGGGAAAGAAACACAGACACAGACAGACATCGAGATGTTTCTCAGGCCAAGAGATGACCGGGAGGGTCCCCAGAGACAGAGGCCTGAGAGGGCCCCACGGCAGACAGACACACAGTGACGTTTGTCCCTCAGGCAGCCCAGAGCTGGTGAGAGAAACATGAATATTTTTCCCTTTTAAAGCAGAGAAGGAAGTGGGAGGGGTTGGGCGGCTGAGCTTCAGGGCTGGAAGGATGGGGGCCCGAGAGCTGGGGAGGGAGCCCCGGGCGGTGGAAGCAGTAACGGGGGAGAGAGACGGAGAGCCTGGCATGGCAGAGGCAGAGAGAGGCGACAGATGGGGGAGCGCGTGGCAGCGGGAGGAGATAATGGAGCCCCAGCAGCAGATGGGGAGAGAAGAGGCGAGAGACAGGAGTGAAGAAGACAAAGGACCCCCTGGAGACCAGAAAGAACTGAGACAGGCAGGGGCTTCCAGCTCCCCCCACCAGGGTGCAGGGCCCAGAAGAGGGCCTATGAGGGGGGAGGAAAAACTCACCTCTGTGGGGTTCCTGCACGACTTCAGCAGTCCCTAAACACCAGCCCCACAAAACACAGTAAATGACTAACACCTACTCCCCTCCAACCCCTTCCCTTTCCCGACAAAGCCCAGAGGCAGCAAGACAAATGGGAGTCAATTGACTCCTGTGTGGACTGCCCACCTGCGGACCTTACAGAGTGACCCGGGGCAGGGCTGAGCCACTAAATCCAGAGGGTGAGAGGGTCACACAGCACCTCCTGCCTCTAGAAGAGCACAGGCCGTAAGAGCAAGGGAACAGCAGCCGCGTTGCCTGGGCTTGACTCCCAGCTCTGCTGCTTCTGAGCTGTGTGACCCTAGGCAAGTAATTAAGCCTCTCTGGCCCTCCTTTTCCTCACCTGAAAACTGGAGATAGTAATAGCACCTGCTTCAGAGGGTTTGTGAGGGTTCAATGAGTTAACAGTGCAAAGCGACTGAACTAGTGCCAGACACATACTACGTGCTCAGTAAACATGCTAACTGTTGCTTTACTTCTAGGGAGGTGCACAGTGGAGGACTGGGAGGAGGCACCCCCACCCCACCCCGCCGCCCCGAACACCTACCTGGATTTTCTGGCTTCTCTCGTCTTCACTCTCTAATTCTAACAATTCATCAATGTTGACCTCGTCGGGCATGTCTGCCTCCTAAGGTGAGGGTGGGAGGGGTTGTCAGGGTCCCCTTTCCCCTCCCTCCCTCACCTTTGTTCAAGGCTCTGGGGGCCCAGCTGGCGGGTTCTGTAGCAATAATGTGACAGTCAGGGACAGCACCACCAAGGCGGGACATCTGGGTGTTGGGGGGAGGGGTGACAGATGGGTTGATGGAGGCCTAGGGCCCTGTCCCAGAGCAATGCCTCGAAGCCTTTGGGCTGGCACAGGCCTCTCCTTTTGGCCCCAGTTCCCACAGTGGAAAACAGCCTGATGGAGTTTTGGAATGTCAGATTCTGGGATTCAGGAGAGGGGCTGGCTTCTGCCCTTTCAAGGAAAAGTCTTAGCACTGGGTGTGGGGGAGGAGAGTGGGCAGGCTGGAGCCGGCTGGAGCGGCCCCTTCCCCCAGGGGACAGGAAGGGAGGGGAGGGCTCAGGTCAGCCCCCAGGGACCAAAGTGCAACACATTGAGTCCAGAGGGATGACCAAGGTGGGAAGGAGGGATGAGTCCTGAGCCCAGCTCTGAGCAGCCAGGAAGGGGATACCTAGTATGCCTTCTAGGAGCAGTGGCCAAAACACAGGCTGGCTCAGTATCCCTGCTGGGGACGGGACCCAGCTGTCAGAACAGAACCCTGCGGCTCTAGATTCTTTCCTCCCCCACCCAAAGTCCTGTAGTTGGCTTCAGGGCTGGGTGGCGGTGGTGGTGGTGGGGTTTGTGTGTGGCAGGGAGGGGCCAGCAAAGTCTTGGAGGGTCTATAAGTGTGTTACACACCTGCATGAGTCTCTGCGCATGAGCAAAGCCTGATGCCCAGGGCCCAGGGCTGGCTGGGAGAGCAAGAGGTGGTGGTATCATCTGGGTGGCTCTGTACAGGGACCTGTGGTCCTACAGGTGTGAGGTATGTGGCTCCGGCTTGGGAGTGTTTGTCTCGTTGTCATGTGGTCATGGCCAGCTGTAGTGCCCACCATCTGAGGATGACCTCATAGAATGACCACTGGCAACTGAATTTGTCTGTTTACCTGTATGATCCCATGTGTCTGAGAACAGAGGGACTTTTTGTCACTTTGAGGGACCATGGCTTCTACCACTGTCGTGCTGTGCTAAGGAGGGTACGTGTGCTTGGGTGTGTCTGTGTACTGCTATGACCATCAAGGTACCTGGGATTGTGTTTGGCAGTCCTCGCGTGTTGTGGAACGTGACTTCAAGCACAGTGACTCAAGTGGGTAAGTGTCTGTGTCTACAGCACACGTGTCTGTATGTGTAGTTGCAGCTTATGCTGTTGTGAGCCCACAGGCAGCTGTAGCTTCTGCCACTGTACGTTTGTGTGTCCCTATACTTTATGTGGCTTTACGTCGGGGTGTAACTATCATTTCTGTTGTCTTGTGTCTGTGAGTGGCAGAAGCATCTGTCGTTGTGTTTGTAGGTGGTTACAGTTTTTTTCTTTAGGCGATCATGAATAGTCATAACGAGTCATTTTATGTCCAAGGGTGGCCATTTTAGCTTGTATTGTCTATGTCGCTGCAGCTTGTAGGGATGTGCACATATGAACAGCTGTAACTTGAGTCATTTTGTATTTTCATGTGGTTGTGTTGTGTGTCTGCATTTGGCTGTGGTCTGTGCTATTGTGTCCGTGGGTGGCTGTGGCTGTAGTACATGTTGATCTGTAAGTAACCACAGCTTGTGACCTTGTAAGTTTGTGTAAGGCTGTTGCTTCTGTCACTGTGTCTGTGAGTGGCTATAGCTTCCGTCACCATGCACATCTGTGTATACTGTTGCTTCCTTTGCTGTGCCTCTCTCTGTGGTCCTATCTCCCCTGTCACCATGTCTATGTTTGGCTTTGTGATATCCCCCTCTCCCCACCCTTTCTCCAGATATGGTGGCTGTGGCTCCCGAGCTTTGCCTCCTCCCCGTCCCCCCATATGCTATGCTAAACCCCTGGCCCTTCCCAGACGTTCGGACACATCTCTGGGGACCCAAGTGTGTGTTTCTCTCTGTCCACAGCTGAGTGCCATCGAGTACAGACGGCCTGGCCAACGAGTGACTGGCCTGCGGCGGCTGTCCTCTTGTGCACACAAGGCTGCGTGTGCACCAGCGAGCGTGCACCCAAAGGCCCCAGGGCGTAGAGTATCCGCGCCCGGGCTCTGTCTGTTCCGGACCACCCCCACACTCCCTCGCCCAGCCTCGCCTCACCCTGCCGCGGTACAGCTCCTCCAAGCGCCCGTCGATCCACTTCTCCACGTCCAGCCGCCGCTGCAGCTCCCGCCGGTCGTACTTGACGGTGACACGCGCGTGCCGTTTCTGCAACCCCCCGGAGCTGCCCCCCGGCCCGCGAGCCCGCGACGGAGACTGCAGCTTGCTCAGCACCCGCTTGCCCAGCCGCTGAGCTGCCATCCCGGTGCTGGCCCCGGCCCCGGCGCCGCGCTGTGAGCCTCCGCCTGCGCCCAGGGGGCCTCTTACGGGCCGGGCT